CCTTCATGGTCCCAGGGACCTCTGCTCCTAGACTACAAAGTTAATTACTCCCCTCCTTGCTACAAAATGTCTACAAATGGCTGATTTTTTAGAAGTGGATCCCCAGGACTTTCTTTTGGGGTGCTTCTGGGTAGACTGAAACTCCCAGCCCAAAACAGATCAAATTGTGTCCCCCAAAAAATATATGTCCATTTGACTAGGCAATGATTCCCAGTATGACATACTTATCCTCTGTTTTGTCATATGTTGTAAATTCTAATCTGTCTTGTTGGAGGTCTCCCTCTTTGTCACTGACCCTCCACTTCATCAAGCATGATGTCCTTCTCCAGGGATTGGTCCTTCTTGACAGTATGTCCAAAGTATGAGCGACGATGTCTGGCCATCCTGGCTTCTAAGGAGCAATCTGGCTGTATTTGTTCCAACAGATTTGTTTGTGCTTCTGGCAATCCATGGCACTTTTAATATTCTTCTCCAACACCATAGCTCAAATGCATCGATTCTTCTACAGAGTCTTCCTTATTCATTGGATAACTTTCACATGCATATGAAGCTACTGAAAATACTAAGGCTTGGGTCAGATGCACCTTAGTCCTCAAACTGACATCTTTGCTCTTGAACACTTTAAAGACTTGACTACCACTATTACTATTAAACTATCAGGATTGTGTGGCGCTGTGGGCTAATGCGTCAGACTACAAAGTCGTTTGAACTGCAAGGTCGGTGGTTCAAGCTTACCAGCTGCTCCTTGGAAACCCTATACAGGGTCGCTATGGGTCAGAATCGACCCAACAGCACTTAACAACAACAACAACATTACTACTTAAAAGGAGCTCTGGTAGCATAATGGTTAGGAATCCGGCTGCAAACCTTAAGGTCAGCAGTTCGAAACTACCAGATGTTCCACAGGAGAAAGATGAGGCTTTCTGCTCCCGTAAAGATTTACAGCCTCGGAAACCCTGTACAGGGTCGCTATTAAGTCGGAACCGACTCCACAGCACACAGCCACCATTACTACTTAAGGATCCCCTGGCAACATCTTTCAAATTTCTTGACATAGATGAGTGAGTGCTTCCATCAATTTATTAAAAGATTTCAATTTGTATTCCCATCAATTCCCAGTCCCTTGTTCTTTGCCAATGCCTTCAGTGCACCTTGCACTTCTTCAGTATCATAGGTTCTTGATTATATGCTACCTCTTGAAATGGTGTGAACAGTGACCATTTATTTTTGGTACAGTAACTCTGCGTATTCCTTCCATCTTCTTCTTTCTTTAAAATGTTTTATTGTGAATTATATGATAGTTTACATGGGAGAACCTTAGTCTTACATTCATTCCATCGTATATCATCTCATTGCCATGGTTCCAATCCCCTCCATGCATCATCAACCAACCAAAGGGTATATCCTAGAAACCCACCCCTT